TTTTAATGCAAGAGTTGCTGTTTTTATTTTAACATTTAAAATTATAACAAATATCACCTTTCATTAAAACAGTTTAGTCCATCAATAAATGTTACTTGCAGCTTAGATTTTTGAAATCGTAGCTATTGCATGTTAAGAGCAAATAAGCCACACACAAGTGAATAACAACAATATTTTTTGTCAACCATAAACATTCATTAAGTAGCTAAAGTACTAATTACATGCAACCTTGGGAGACTCACTACTCTGTAATTATCTTTACAACTGAGCATGTGCCTTTTGAAGTTTCTGTTTAGCCCTCTAAAGTTATTTTGCTATTTGCTCTGGTTCTTTTGTGTTGTTTTTAAGCAAAAGAGTAGATTTTATAAAGAACTTGTCTCCATCTCCCAACCTCATGTTTGGTCCAAACTCTTCAAAAATTCTGAAGTGGAACAGCCCCCAATTCTAATAAATATTCTTGAGTTGTTTTTGTTTGTTCATTTGTTTTTTAAGACACAGTCTTGCACTTTTGCCCGGGCTGGAGCGCAGTGGTGTGATCTCGGCTCACTGCAGCCTCCACCTGCTGGGTTCCAGAGAGTCTCCTGTCTCAGCTTCCTGAGTAGCTGAGATTACAGGCATGTGCCACCATGCTTGTCTAATTTTTGTATTTGTAGTGGAGACGGGGTTTCATCATGTTGGCCAGACTGTTCTTGAACTATTGACCTCAAGTGATCCTCCTGCCTCAGCCTCCCAAAGTACTGGGATTACAGGCGTGAGCCACCACCAGGCCTGGCCTTATTGGGTATTGTTTATAGCTGACTTCCCTCAAAGTTCCTTCTTTTTCTGTGCCTTGTCCTAGTTGATGAGTATCAGGGACACTGCTACCTTGTCATCAACTACTCAGATGCTCAGTCGCCTGTTGCTTTAGCATTGAGTTCCTGTTTCTCTTGTCTCAGGTGAGAATCATAGAGCACTCCTATTTTCCTCTGTTCTTGGTGAGGAGGCAAACACAATTGTCTGGTCTTCTCATTCATAAGTGTTAATATGCTTAGGTTATCATGGGATGGTGTAGGGGGACAGAGAGAACTACAAATATTAATACATCTTTGTAATGTCATTAAAAAGCTGAAGTTGCAGTTAATTTTCTTTTTGGAGGGCATGCGCCATATATTTGTGACATATGTTATATGTTAGATCTATTATTTAATAATAGCAATAAAAGCAATACTTGTTATTAATGTTGCTCGTAACTTATAGATGTAACAAACATGCTAATAGCTAAAGTAAGTTGGTATGAGTTTGGTACTGAGAAATAATCTTGTTAACTATTGCTCGTTTGATTTTTGGTAACTGTTCTTCCTCCCATTTTGTGCAATGAAAGTACAACCAGCCTGTTTGGTCAGACTAATGTATAACTACCAAAAACTGCAAAAATATCTGGATTCTATATTAATAATGTGCTTTGCCACTACTTGTTTTAAATGTCACTTACTTAAATGTTATGTACTTATTCCATTAATTCAGTTTAAAAGACTGAAAACTTTCCAGATAAATCACACTTTATAAGTCAGAAAAATATTTCAACTGGGTTGAGGGAAGGAAGCTTGAAGTCTGAGTTTAAACAGAGAGTATTTTTAGTTGACTCCCTTACAAAGTTGCAAAGAGGTAGTCAAAATAATGCAATGTACACTAAGGCTTGGGTTAATCTGACATGCTGATAGAATCATGATCCATGAAGACTTCCTTGAGTAGGTTCCTTCTCAGAAGCACATATGTAGTGATACTCACCATCATGGAGGCACAGCACCATCATCAGATCTGGCTCCAGTGCAGTATAAATTTGTTGAGTACTTCATTTCCACCAGAAAAATTCCTTCATAGTTCACATATTTTGGTTACTTTTTGTCTCTTAACTTCTTAGAAAAGTTTTAATGTTAGCAGTTCTGTGAATTATTAAATGGTCCTGGCCATGGCCCTTCTTTTTTGATACTTTTTACTGCCTTTCATACAGGAGTGGATGGTCACAAGGGACAATATTATTAATAATAATAACAGGAACAACTTACATTTATGGAATACCTTCTTTTGGCCAGGTATAAAGACAAAAAATTACTCTCTAAGTTCTGGGGCTGGGGTCCATGAAATGAGTTGACAAAAGACAGATTAAGAAAATAAAAGCATATACGTTATATTTAATATTTTTACTGCACACATAAGCCTTTATAAGAAAAATGAAGAGCCAAAGAAGCAACTCAGGCCAAGAGCTTATATACTTTTTAAACAAAGAATGCTAAATTGTGGGGAAATGATAAAACAAAGGAAAAGAGTTTAACCTTCTAGAGGCAGTAATTTGTGGGAAAGCGGCAGAAAATACACAGGAAAATCTAATGGAAGATAAGGAATATTTTAGTAGTTTTGTTTGTTCTGATCCATTTCAGTATTGACCCCCAGTCTCCAGTGATAAGAATGTTCTCTTCCTGAAACAGGGAGAGCCTCTTTCACATGGAAAATTTTCTGTCATACCTGAGGCAGAAAGAGGTAAGTCAGAGAGCCCTTCTTGCCTCTGCTGTTGCTCAGTCACCTTCAACCCAAAAAAATCAACATGCCGGGCTGGGCACAGTGGCTCACGTGTGTAATCACAGCACTTTGGGAGGCCGAGGAAGGTGGATCACCTGAGGTCAGGAGTTCAAGACAAGCCTGGCCAACATGGCGAAACCCCGTCTCTACTAAAAATACAAAAATTAGCTGGGTGCAGTGGCGCGTGCCTGCAATCCCAGCTACCTGGGAAGTTGAGGCAGGAGAATCACTTGAATCCAGGATGCGGAGATTGTGGTGAGCCAAGATTGCACAACTGCACTCCAGCCTGGGCAACAAAGTGATACTTTGTCTCAAAAAATAAAATAAAATAAAATAATAAACATAATCCCCATACCAAAGTAGCATATTTTGGGGTAGCATGTTCTGAATTCCTTCATTTCCCCCATCTGAAACTTTACCATAAGTTTCTCATAATAAAATCTGAATTAATGGCTATGGAGAGAAGAATCAGTTTAGTTGCTGAGTGATAGATCTTCAAAAGAAGAATATACAGCTTAGAATGAGAATAAATAACCAGAAAAGTGCAAACTTAAGCACATTTCTTCATATTCCATTAAACCAATCTCCCAACTGTGGGAATAGGTCAGTCTAATAAAATGGTTGAGCCTCATTGTCTTATGGAGAATATTAATCTTTTTTGTTCAAAGGTATAAATCAGACAATATTTGTACCAACTGATTCACAAAGAGGCAGCATTTTCATCAACCACACAAGATAAAATGATCAGTGTTGTTCATGAACAAAAAGTGGATCCTGTAATTCTCCAGATCTAGTGTGTTCCACAACTGTTGTTATTGGTCATATTGATGTCTCCACACCTTCATTTTCATGTGCCTCTGTCAGTTTGTAAAAGCAGAAAATGTCGTGAAATATTTGACATAGGAGACCTGCAATCTGGCTTTGACAGCTAAAAGGCTTGATTTTGTCACCTGACCAAGTTAATCCAGATTTTTGATCTATTTATATACAATTTCTGGTGTTAAGGAGCCTAATCAGGAGAGCAGCTGAGCTACCCCACCCAGGTTGTGCAAGAGTGGCCTATGAACCAGCCAACACATTTGGTGATTTGGCAAAACTTTGTGCTATAAAAGGTAGTTCTAGAATCACTTATTGTTACCGGATGGAAAGTCTTGACTCTGAGTTTTCCAGGTTCTTGGAGTGTTGAACAAAGAATTGAACAAAACGTGCAAACAAAGCAACAAAAGAACGAAGCAACAAAAGCACAGATTTATTGAAGTGAAAGTAGCCTCCACAGAGCAGGAGCAAGCTTGAGCAAGTGGCTCAAGAGCCTCATTGCAATGTTCTTCAGGGTTTCAAATTAAACTAAAAGAATTTGGTAACACCCCTAAGTACCCTTTAGAGGCCTCCAATTGTTTATACCCTATGCAAATGAAGGATTGGCCTGTGACCAATCAGAGACTGAAGTGGAGGCTTGGTTTGAGACCAATCAGAGGCTGAAGTGGAGGTTGGCCCACAACCAATCAGAGGCAATTCTCATTTGTGACGTAGGGGAGGAGGGTTTTGTAGAGGGCAGGAACTCTGGCCCCTTTTCACTTGGGCATGGAGAGGTGGGGTTTTCCTTTTGGTCTAATTCCAAGAACTCAGCCACAGTTTGTCCTCAGGCTTCTTGTCTCCCGACCCTATTCTCCTGCCTCATTATGACCTCCATGAAGGGTTTGAGGATGTGGTGTATGGAGTCAAACTACAGGGTTTGATTGCAATATTGTCTTGGCTTTTTACTTGGGAAGAGATCAGTACCATATTTGTTTTTAATTGGAAAGTTTTTTTTTTTCCCCAACATCTTTACTTGAGCAAGGGACAATTGTTGAGCATGCACAGAGGTTTTTCCTTGCCCGATGAACTCATCAGAAGTAAAAGTAGAGTGACATTGTTTTTCTGGCCATGGATACCATACTCTTTCATTAATTTATCTTCCATAGTTGGTCTACCTGGTACCCCATGGACAGGAATAAAAACTAATTCAGGTTTGTTCATGCTATACAGATGTTGACATAAGCAATAATTATATTGTTTAGTTGACATGACCAAGGTTTGAGAAACTCGTGCAAGGGTGGTGTCAGGTTTGTGTGAAACCTATAAAGAAAAGAATGAGGTTAATATGAAAGAGGCAGCATTTGAAAGAAAGCCCATAGTGGAGGATCAGAGAGAGAATAGGATAGATTGAGACAAGTAATCTCCAGTGAGCTTCTCAATAAATGGGAGGTTTTGTTTAAAAAGATCCTCCCTTTACTCCCCCCACACACCAGGAAGGAGAGAAACTTAAAGGGGGAAAATAGATGAAAGCAAAGTTTTTTGATCTGTGATCTTGAGGAAAGCTGTTTGCTTTGTGGTGTCATCTTGCTTCTAGAGCCTTGACTCTGAAATCCTTACTATGAGGTCACCTGTAGGGATGGTCTTTCAGTTGTCCTGAGAGTGATGACTGGCTCTACCTTGATGTGGCTCACATGAATTCAGACAGTGTGATAGCAGTGTAGGTGGTTAGCAGTACTTCATAAAGTCCTTCCTAATAAGGTAATAGTACACACTTTTTCTAAAAATCTTGATGTATACCTGATCTCCTGGTTGAAAGAGATGGTTTAATGGATTTTTTCCTATAAGTTCTTTTTATGTCTAGATTTTTATGTTCCACTTGCCCTGATGATTGAAGATGGTATGAAGTAAGAAATTTTAATGAGTAATCCAGAGATTTGGGGAGTGAGTTGTTTATTTCTACTAAAAAATGAGTTTCTTGGTCTGATTCAATCTATAAAGAAATGCCAAGATGAGGAATAACCTCAGTTGTTAATTTCTTTACCACTATCCTGGTGTCACTTGAACCTGGGAGACAGAGGTTGCAGTGAGCCGAGATTGCGCCACTGCACTCCCGCCTTGGTTACAGAATGAGACTCTGTCTCAAAAAAAAAAAAAAAGGTGTTACAATAGAGGAATTGGTTAATAGGGCCTGTGTACAGGTGGTCTGCTACTGTGTTGAGAGGTGCGGAGTCTTATTAAGTCATAAAAGAATGGACACAGAATGGGGGAATGGGGAATGTGGAGGTAAAGAAGGGAACCTAATATAAGAATACTGAATTTGCCAACTAAGGTACCAGTTGTGACTACTTCGTGCAGGAATGGGAACATGCCTGATGCCATAGAGTCTAATTGACTTGAGAATGCGGGAGGAAAATAAAAACTCAGGACCCCAATTCACCATGCCAAAAGGAAAAAAAAAATTAAACTGAAATGTGAGTTGTGCAAGAAACTGCCTTTTCTTTTGTTCCTAAGCAGATAGTTAGAGATAAAATGTTAAATAACTCCATAGGTAGTTACTCTGTGTTCACCTTATCTTATGTAAAGTGCAGATTTACTGAGCGCTGGATGAATACGTAATTGACTATTCCCTACCTATTTCTTTTCCCTTGCAACATGTGGATTATCATACCCTCCTTTTTTCCACAATGGCCTGCCTTTTCCCTTTAAATACTGAGGCCCTCAAATTCATTTTTGGAAAAAGGCATGGACCACAGACTGTTTCTGTGATTCCATGTTTATTTCTTCTGGGCATATGCTTAACTTTGGCAAAATAACCTTCTAAATTGATTGAGACCTGTCTCTGATACTTTCTTGTTTACAAGAAATATAGTATAGGATATCTGTTGATGAAAAGAGTCAAACTGTCAAATATTTGAAGAGATTTATTCTGAGCCAAAAATGAGTGATCATGGCCAGTGACACAGTCCTCAGGAGGTCCTGAGAACATGTGTCCAAGGTAGTTGGGGTGTAGCAGGACAAACCACAGACAAAACCCCTCAGACACTGAGTTAAAGAAGGAAGGGCTTTATTCAGCCAGGAGCTTTGGCAAGACTCATGTCTCCAAAAACTGAGCTCCCCGAGTGAGTAATTCCTATCTCTTTTAAGGGCTTACAACTCTAAGGGGGTCCATGTGAGGGGGTCGTGATTGATTGAGCAAGCAGTGGGTATGTGACTGGGTGCTGAAACAGAACAGGACAGGGATTTTCACAGTGCTTTTTCACATAATGTCTGGAATCTATAGATAACATAACCAGTTAGGTCAGGGGTCAATCTTTAACCACCCAGGGCGTGACGCCGGGCTGTCTGCCTGTGGATTTCATTTCTGCCTTTTAGTTTTTACTTTTTCTTTCTTTGGAGGCAGAAATTGGGCATAAGACAATATGAGGGGTGGTCTCCTCCCTTATTTATACAGCTTGGTTTTACGTATTTTAGGAAGGCATGAGACATTAATCAAATACGTTTAAGAAAATACATTGGTTTGGTTTAGAAAGGCAGGACAACTCAAAGTGGGGGCTTCCAGCCTGTAGGTAAATTTAAATATTTTCTGGCTGACAATTGGTTGAGGTTGTCTGAAGACCTGGGATCGACAGAGAGGAATGTTCAGGTTAAAGATAAAGGATTATGGACACCAAGTTTTATTGTGCAGAGGAAGCTCTTAGATAGCAGATTTTAGAGAGACCAGGTTGTAAATAGTTTTTTTAATAGGACTTAAAAGTGTGCCTGGCTCTTAGTTGATTATCTCCTGGATCTGGGAAGGAAGAAAGGAAAACAAAAGGGAAAGGGATTCTCTATAGAATGTGGATTCTTCCCACAAGACACTTTGCAGGGCAATTTTAAGGTATGGCAAGGAAATATATCTTGGGGTTAAACATTTTTTTTCCTTGTCTCATAATGTTATGCCAGAGTCAGATTGAAAAGTAAGCCACAATATATACGGTCCAATAAAACCCAACTGATGAGAATTTACAGTTTGTAGGGCATGACTCCCTAGACCCCTTAGGTAGAAATTTGGGTAAGAAAAAAAATCAGAGCTTAGTCCTCATATCCAAGAGGCAAGAGGTTGTTCTGAATACCCCAAACAATCCTATTCTTTTCATGGTAGTATAGGTGAAACGGTTTGCCAAAGTTGGGTAAGCCAAGAGCTGGCTATGTGAGAAGTGCTCATTTTCAGGCTTTGCAGTTCAATGGCTCCAAGAGCCAGGAAATGAACTCTGAAGTAGCATCGGGAGGAGGGCATCTATAGAGGTTTAGCATGGGCAGCAAAAGCAGGAATTCATCGGTGACATTTAGCTGCCCCTAGGAATTTATGCAGTTGCTTTTTGTTTTTGGGAGAGAGATGGGCAAGGCTGATTCAAGGCATTTTGTGCTATTTTTAGTGCCCTGAGATATCTCATGTCCTAAGCAGGTAACAGTTGTTTGCATCCACTGATGTTTAGATATGAAGGATTTAAGGCCTCATTCAGCTACTTATTTTAGGAGAATGAGGGAGTCTATAAGATCACTCTGTTTAGTTTGGCTATAAAGAAAGAGGTTATTAATGTATTGAAAAAGAGTGAAGCCTTGAGTAAAAGCTACAGGGTTGAGATTGGTTTTACGGACTTAGAAAAATATTGAGGGGAACTCATAATATCTATGAGGTATGCATCTATGTTGATTGTCTTCCTCTAAACATAAGTGCAAAGACAAATTTTGAGTCCCAGAGTAATGGAATTAAAAAGAAAGCTGACCAGAGGTTAATTACTATAAACCAGACTGCATCAGCAGGAATTGAGGTCAGAATAGTGGCTGGATTAGGAATTATGGGGTGACGGGGCATTATAAGAGTTTATGACTCTCAGATCTTGTACAAATCTAAAATGGGATTTGATTCCCATCTAAATCAAATTTTACTTTTATTATTGGCAAGATTAGGGTATTGCAGGGTAAGAAGGTATAAGAAAACCCTGCTATAAAATAGTCGATTATAGGTTCAATTCCTTATTTTTCATCTTGAAAGAGAGAGTATTGGGCTACTTATAGGAAAAGTTTATTACTCTTCCAGGTAACACCCATTGACTGTGCACTCAGTAGCTATCCAATCTCATTTATATGTGAGGCCCAAATACTAAGTGGGATATCTTTTAGGACTGCATCCTCTTCAGAAGATTTTAAATTGATATGGGTTTCCATTAGGGAAGGTAGGAAGCTTGAGGTTTGGTCTGAAGGTAGGAAAATAAAAAACATCTTTATAATTATACTCTATGGTGGCATTAAATTTACATAACAAACCTCTGCCTAAAAGGTTTGCCAGTAAGAAGTCAGAAACTAGAAAGGCGTGATGGATGTTAAGAGGGCCTACAAATATTGGGTGGCCTAAGATGTAGGCAATGAAACAGGCTTCCCTGGAGTTCCAACAGCTGAATAGAATTAGAGGTGATAGATAGAGATGAATACTTTGAGCCAGTAGTAGAGAAAGTCACGTCAGTGTCAATTTAAAAATTCAGTTCTTGATCTTCTATTTTAAGGATGGAGGATATGCTTCCTCTCTCAGAAAGAGGAAAATGGATCCTCTGAGGAAGCTGGGGTCAGGAGAGATTGTTTAAGCTTTCCTTTCTTTTAAGTGCAGGACAATTGTTTTTTTCAATGTCTGGCTTTGTATATAGTACCTGCAAACATCTTGAAATGAATAGGGGAGGCTCTGGGGCTGGTAAGAAAAATGGGTGGGACTTGAGTTGCCCCTAGAGTCATAGATGTGTTTTTATAAAGACTAAATTTGCAAGGCAAGGACAGTTGATGTTAATTTTTCCCCCCTCCTCTTTTCCTGCAAGCCTTTTTTCAATGAATGGGGTAGAAGCTTCAATCATAATGTTGAAGAGACTGTCCTGCCCAGACAAAAAAGCTACTGTGGATTTGCTTCCTTATTCCAGACAGAGGATTTCCAATAAAGGTGGAAATAATAAGATTTTTCTGTTCTGGGGCTTTGAGGTTAAATGCAGCATGCCTTTGGAAAGTCTGTATACAACATTCCACAAAAATCTTGGCATCCTTTTCTTTCTGAGTGTACTTTTCAACCTAAGACCAATTCACTTTGGTGGGAAAGGTCTCTACTATCACTTTTATGAGGCCCTAAATATCAGCTGCCAGCTGAGTCATTTCCTCGTCATTTGCAGGAAGGCCTGGGAGAAGTTCTGGCTACCTGTTTTCTTTATGTGTGTTTGCTGCTGGGGAGAGGTAGTTGTCCCTAGGGGGTTGTCTGGCTTGTCTGGTAACCACAGTATCACCCTGGGTAGGAAGAGCCAATCAAAATCCCTAGGAGGGGAGTTGTATATTGTCACTAACTTTTCTAACTTCTCTCTAAGTTTGATAGGATCTTCTGAAAGGTGTATATTTTGGGGGTGGGGTGGGGTGTGGTATAAAACGACTTTTTATTTTAAAAGATCTGCTGCTGTCCAGAGGACATGAATTCTTTGCTGTGGGCACTAAGGATACATCCACAAAAGGAATTTCATGGGAAGACTTGCAGCTGATGGGATCTGATTATATAGACCCAGAAAGTAGATGGAATTATAAGGGACAATGAAATGAGCCCTGCTGTGTATCCCTGGGGCCTCTGACAGAGTTATTTTCTGACTATCAGCATTTACATAAGTAACTTGTATTCCCTGGCCTGGAGATTAGGCCAGAGTGCTTTCTGCTATTCTTGCAGGGAAAAAGAATTTAAAGAAGGAAGCTGGGTGTTT